ACCCCATAAGATTATACCATACCTCAATACTGATTCTACATAAGCATGATAAACCATTTTCAGAGTTTCTTTAGGAACACAGTCCCTTAAGTGCAAAAATACAATTGACATGGATCTAAGTTTACTTTTTAATTGATTCAGATGTACATCCCATTTAAGTGATTCATCTATGTAAACACCTAGAAATTTATGAGACGTTGCCAATTTATTACCATTGTTTCTGAGGGAAAATTTTGTTGTTTGCGTTTTTTCAAGATTAAGTTTTAATCCATTGTTCAAGAACCAACCCTCCATGCCATGAACCACATTTTCAAGAGAAGATAGCATTTCAGAAGTACTATTATTTTTTATCAAGGCTGTTGTATCATCTGCAAAAAGAATTAGTTCCTGATCAATAGCTTTAGGGAGGTCATTAATGTAAATTAGAAAGAATAGAGGACCTAAGATTGAACCTTGGGGCACACCTGCCGATAGGTTTTCCCATGGCGAATAGTACTTGATCTTATACAGTGTTATTACAGTTCTTTTTTTTTCTATTGGAAAGGTAAGAACTCAATAGAGAGTGACAACTTCCCTTATACCATAATCACTCAGCTTGAGCTGAAGGACTGAGTGATCAACACAGTCAAAAGCTTTGGACAGGTCACAGAAAACACCAGCTGTAGCCTGAGACCCGTCCAAAGCCTGGGTAACCTCATTTATAAACTGTGTTAGTGCAGAACCTGTGCTTAAATTTTTCCTGAATCCAAATTGTTTGTTATAAAATAGATGATTGCTTTCAAAATAACTAACCAATCTGAAATTTATGACCTTCTCAAATATTTAAAAAAATAATATTGGTGAGATTTGGGAAAGTCACAGCGCGATCGTTGAAATGACTTCGCCTCCTGCGTTGCGGAACTATCGTGAACATCTCTCGCGATAGCGGCATCATCGCCAACAATCATATCAAATCCCGTCCCGAAAAAATCCCGAGTAAAATGTAATCCCGTCCCAAAAATCAAGAAAAATTTTTCCCAAAAATTTCCTAAAATTTCGAGACCCGTCTATCCCTAGTACAAAGTAATTCTAACCAGCAAATTAAAATTTAAACCCTATAAACACATTTATTGTATCAAAGGTAAGGTCTTACTAACAAATAAAAAAAAAATTATAACTAGAGGTGTGCCAGCCTGAGATTTTCAATCAAGCTTAGAGTGATATTGCTATAATTTTCCACGGTTATGAAGACATCTTTAAAACGTCTTCTGCGATTGCTAAATATTCCTGAACATATCTTGCGGTCACCAGAACTTCATTGTCTTCCAGCGATCATGGCAAAATCCTGAATATCTCCCCCGGTCGTGTAGACATCATCGTCGTCTTCCACGATTGCATCAAAATCTTGAACATCTCCCACAGTCATTTAGCCTTTATCATTGTTTTCTGCAATCTTGGCAAAATTCTGATCATCTCCTGTGGTTGTTGTGGAAATAATCATCTGTTGTAGCAAAAAATTGAATATATCCTGCGATCTTGTAGACATCTTCTCCCTTGATCACAGCAAAATCCCGAATATTTCCATCGGTCATGGAACCATAATTATTGTCTTCCACGATCGCAGCAAACATTTGAATATCATCTGCAGTCACTAGATCATCATCGTCTTCTGGCAATGGTGCCCAAATCCTGAATACCTCCCACAGTCGTTAAAACATTACTAATTATCGTCCTCTGCGATTGCAGAAAAATTCTTGACATCTCTGATCACAGAAACGTTATCGTCATCATCTGCAATGGCGGCAAAAGTGTGAAATCTTCTTCGCAGATCTTTCTAGTATCGGCATCTACTCTTTAGGATCAATTCTAGATATTTTCATTTTTGAACAGGTGGCCTCCGGGTAGATTGTCAAGATACAATTAAAGTGGTTTGAATACCTGTAATGTTGATAATCCAAGTGGTTCTGTAATAATTAGTTTCGGCTCACGCTGGAGCCTTCTTCAGGTTTTCAAAGGACATTGTCGCTTCTTCTGAAATTCGTCAAAGTTCATAAATATTTACAAGACATTTAAAACACACGACACGCATGACTAGGCCTAGCTTTAACGACACGACTGCCGGGAGTTTATGTCTAGACTGCTGGGCACTATGGTCAGTGTAGTCTTTTCAGTAACAGGTTGTTTGTGTGTTTCATTTTTCTCCCTCTCCCTTTCAATTATTTCTATTGTAGTGTTGTAAATAAAATTAAATGCTAAGGAAAGCTTATTGTTTAGCACGTTTTGTTTGTCTGATTTGACTGCCTTGTAAATTTTGAATTCTTCCAATGTTTTGAAAAAAAAAATTAAAAATATTATGGCCAAGAACAACATCACAGTTGCACTTAAATCTGTTAACAAACTTGGCTCAATTTTAAAGGAATGTCATCAAACTACAATAAGACTGCTGTTTACAAAATTATTGCAGCGATTGTGATAATTATTACATAGGCCAGACATCACGCTCTTTTTCAAAACAATTTAAGGAACATATCCCCAAGAAAACCACGTCCACACAACCGTTAACTTCTGCCGAGCATTTAATCACAAACAAGCATAGCTATTCCAACATCAACAATAACATGACTGTTCTACATTTAATTAAAAACAAGTTTCAGATCAACTCATTGGAAGAATTTGAGATTTATAAGGCAGTCAAATCAGACAAACAAAATGTGCTAAACGGCAAGCTTTCATTTGCATTTAATTTTATTTACAACACTATTATTATTATTATTTTGTTGTCATGAGAGCCGAAGCCCCCTGACTGCTTACCCGGTACCTATCCTACAGGACATACCCGGGCCCCATGATGTAGGCCGAAGCTTACGCATCAACCTTTAGCACATCATGGGCGGATGACTTAAGGTCATCAGGCTCGCCGGCTGCCGAAGCAGACCCTTCGGAAAGAGGGTTGCCCCTCAATCCTAACCAGGGATTCCGGCTGCTTGTTTAAGCGTCACTCCACCTGGGTTCCACTAGGTCGGAACCTAGAGGTCCATAGTAGAGCGCCCCGACGCATTTAGTGCAAGCAACACTCGGGACCTATCTCATCCCTGACAGGCAGAACCCGCCATCAATAGCCAGGAGGAAGGGGACCATCAGCACGCTGACGGGGGGAACCCCAACCTCCCATTTACACCGCTGCCCGATCGAGGCCTGACCCATTGCTGGGAACCAGAGATATCCAGAGCGATAGATCCCCAGATACCCCTGGCGGGCTCGGACCCAGCACCCGATCTACTTCGTTTGCCCGTCAGACCCAACATCACTGCCAGGCCATCAGGGTTTCCCAAAAGGAGGCAGGTATAGAAGTGGGACCCACCCGGATGAACCTATCCACCAGAGGTGGCGACACCCTTGACTCAATTGAGGTTCCGGGAAGAACCCCCCACACTCAAGATAACCATACCGTCCGTGCTCAGAGACAGGGATAGGTTTGCATAAGTACCTACAAACCGTTGCCCTCACACTGCGGAAAGTTACGTTGCCCTTGAGTGTCCCCGTGAGCTGCGGGTACTTGCCCGTTTTCACCTCCAGGAAAGGTTACTTCCAAAGTCGAGGATTTGCCCACTGAATGCTGGTCGCACACCACAAGCAGGCCGAAGCCCAAAGTACCACAGACACAGGTAGGTTAGAGATTATGATGTACTTCCATCTCTCCTAGAGCTAAACACCCCTCCATCCTGGATAAAGGAATGTCACTGGGACCCGATGCCCAGTCGACCATGTCTGTGGCCAACTTGAAATGCCGATACCAACACGGAGCATTTACCTCCCCTCTGGGGGCTAGGTATTTCACCTCCCAGGACGAGGCTACTTCCAAAGTCGAGGATATGCCTCACAAAATGTCAGTCGAACACAACAGGTAGGACTCAGTCACAACCACAGTTACAGGTAGTTGAGGAGAGGCGGAATTAACGGCGTCACTGAGAGCTAAACACCCCCCCCACCCTGAATGGAGGGAATGTCACTGGAGGCTCCCCCTAAGGGGCTGGCGCTTACCAGTCGTCCATAACTGTGGTCTACCTGAAGTGCCGGGTCTGACACCGGGCAGTTACCTCCCCTCTGGGAGAGCTAGGGTCCGCGTGGTCGCCCAGGCCACGAACCCACGCAAGCGTGAGCCCCCTGCGGTACAACACTATAGTAGAAATAATGGAAAGGGAGAGGGAGAAGAATGAAACCCACAAACAGCCTTTTACTGATACGACACACCGACCATAGTGCCCGGCAGTCTAGACATAAACTAGACGTTAAAGCTAGGCCTAGTCATGTGTGTTGTGTGTTTTAAATGTTTTCTATGTTTTGTAAATATTTATGAACTTTGACTACCTTCAGAAGAAGCGACAATGTCCTTGGGAAAACCTGAAGAAGGCTCCATTGTGAGCTGAAACTAGTTGTTACACTACCACTTGGATTATCAAACATTACAGGTATTTAAACCACTTAAATTGATTCTAGATACTGATACTAAATGTCCAAGAATCATTGGCTTAGAGAATCAACATGTATTTTGTTAAAATTCTTCAACTTAACTACTTACAAAATTGATGATGAATCATGAACAAGTTAGGACATGAAAAGATCAAATTTCAGCATTTGTTTTGTTAAAACCCCCAATGTGGATAGGATTAAGCCAAGGGTCTAAAATGCATTCACAATTCTAGTGAAGTTCTAATAACAATAGCATGAATCATGTAGCGATGTAGCTTACAATGCCAGTGAACTGTCTTGGCTAGTCTCAACATAGCCTAGATGCATTGTTTTAAAGTCTTAACACCATTTTTTGAAGTGGTAAACATATTGAACCTATTTTATCTAAATTCACTTATTTGTGCTTAGTTTAGTATTAACCAAAAAATTTGGTATGAATGTTTATTTATATGTATAATTCAGCTTTTTTTGTACTCAGTAACTTTTTACAATAATTCATCTTATTCCATATTAGTCTGCCATTTTTGTTTTATTTGAATTTTTATTTTCAGGCTGTAGAAGTTGAAAAGGGCATTTTTACCTATTCTGAATCAGTTATTGATTTACCTCGTGAAAAAGAAAATATTCCCCATTCCCAGTCAAGATCCTTTTCTGGTGTAATCGACTTAACAGATTCACCAGTTAAACAGAAGAACGTTGAAATTATTGACCTAGTTTCTGATGATTCCCACTCGCCTTTAAAGGTATGAATATATGACTTAACCTGGATGGTTACTGATTTTCAAACTGCTTATTGGGGCTGATTACCAAGTTCAGTCATCATAATTTTAGTGGATGCACAAATTTTTGTGTAGCAAAAAATGTTGACGTAATAAAACCGATTTACCTAGTTTTGTATACAATAATATTTACGATAGTTCATGTTAAGGCAGAATATTTCGCCATTTTTGTTTTATTTAAATTTTGATTTTCAGGCTGTTGAAGTTGGAAATGCTCGCTTTACCTATTCCGAATCAATTGTTGACTCACCCCGTGAAAAAGAAAATATTCCCCATTCCCCGTCAAATTTCTTTTCTGGTATAATTGACTTAACAGATTCGCCTGTTGAACAAAAGAACATTGACATTCACATTATTGACCTAGTTTCTGATGATTCCCACTCACCTTTAAAGGTATGGATATCTTTGATGACCAGTAATATATAAATGAATGCAAAGTATCAATCAGTATCAACAAATTGTTGTTTGTTTTATATTTGTAAATGTTGTGATAATATTTGTGAGAACCTGGAAGGTTACTGGTTTTTAAACTGTTTATTGGGGTTTAATTTTAGCATGGACTATACACAAGATGTCTTTGTAAAGTCAATGGTGTTAGTAATGACTAATCTGGGTTTTTAGTGTTTCATTTTCTGAAAGTAGTAAATTTACAGTACACCATTTATATGAGTATATATACAAACAATTCATAAAGTAGGTATAAGAACCATATGCATTGTTTACTTAACCGTAAGACATTTAATTTGTCGACACTATTATTGGATATTTCAATGTTGCTTTAGATTAGCCAACAACAGCCACCCATCTTTAGAAGGCCTGCATGATTAAAGATTAAATTATCACTATTTCGGTTTCTCAAATTAACTTTCTTCTAAATTTTAAATTTTCTCTTTCATTTTTAAATATTCCAATTTATTCTTTTATTATGGGATTTTTACTTTCCCACCATAGTAGCCTATATGGAGAAAGTATTGTTTTCGTCAAAATTTTTGAGTTTGAGTTTTGAGTGGATATATCCGTTTTGGGTCCCCCTGAACCCAAAAAAGTGGTTTTCGAAGTGATGTCTGTGTCTGTGTGTCTGGATGTGTACAGAGCTAGGGACTACACCTGTGGTCCGATTACGATGAATTTTGGTATGTAGGTTCTAATCCATAGTATCTCCAGGAAATAATTTAAAAAAAGAAATAATTTTCTATATTGAAGCACCGTTGTATTCCTTACGGTCGCGGAGAAAATTCAAAAAAAGTGTAATTTTAAATTCCCATGTTATTCTTATGGAGAAAATGAAAACTGATGTAGTTTACTTATAGGTATATGTTGATAAAATTTGGCAAATTTATTTATTTCATCCTATACTATTGACGTATTGTCAAAAAACACGTTTTACCTTCCCCGTAGCAGTAAACCTAAGCATTCATTAAATCTAATGTTATTTAAATAGTTAATAAATATGTATTATTTATGGAAATATTTTAGTAAAAATGTAATCAGACAAGTTGAAATTCACTTAGTCTGCAGGTTTGCTGCGGCGGGGGTAAAAACACCATCCGTTCAAATTCATATATATTTATACAGGGTGAGTTTTAAATGAGTGCCACCCCCCCCTACTTTTTTCTACATTTCCTAAGATATTAACTCCGGACCACGTCAGATCATTGTAGAGTAGTAAGTACTTCATTTTGACTGGGTATACATTTTTGGCCGCCATCTTGGATCCGCCATATTGGATACAAGGTTTTTTTTAATGCAAAGGTAGGGTTGTGACCCATAATTTCAAACTAGAATTTTACGCTGATTACAATGCCGCAAATAGTTAAAAAAAAATCTTGATCCGTTCTAAAGTTATGAGGACTTTTTATAACGTTATTTTTAGCCCATTTTAACATTGTGCATTTACAAACTAAGACCATAATCTCAAAATAGTGCTAGTTAAAGATAAGTATACACCACATTCATCGTCGACCTATTTTCACTTTGTTATGATGGATGTATTTTTTTCGGCCGCCATCTTGGATCCGCCATTTTGAAATGTGACAAATGAATTTTTATATGAAGGTGGTGTTGTGACCCTTCATTTCGAACTACTTTTTTATGCTAAACTCAATGCCGCAATCTGTTTTTTCATTTTAATATTTGGTTTTTGAAATACAGTAGTGTCCCGCAAACTCGGCACTCGGTAACCCGGCAGTCTGGATAACTAGGCCATCACCTGGCTCAGAAAATTAGTGATTTTTTTAGTCAGAGTTAAACATGGACTCAAGTCAAAAAATTCGCAGCTTGTACAAATGATTTGTTGTACTATATCTGATGACTTAATACTAACTTGTAATATAAATATAAATAAAAGGTGTACCAGTTAATAAGCTTGAAAATTGTATTGTTGGAATACACATTTATACCAATGTTAAACTTTCTATCTTGAAAAACGCCCGAGATATAAAATAATTTATAAAAATCACAAACAGACCGACAGACAGAAATCTAGGCACTTTAGGGTGTTATAGGGCATACTTATAGGGTGTTTTATGTTTGTCTTAGCCCAGCAGCATGTCCACAAAATATGCCCTGACAATTTGGAAACACCCTGTATATTGATAAAATTTGGAAAATTTATTTATTTCATCCTATATACTATTAAAGTATGGTCCAAAAACACTTCCCCCCCCCCCCGTAGCAGCAAACCTAAGCACTTGTTAAATCTAATGTTGTTTAAATTGTGAATAAATATGTCTTATTTATGGAAATATTGTAGTAAAAATTTAACCAGACAAGTTGAAATTCGCTTAGTCTGCAGGTTTGCTGCGTCAGGGGTATTTAATAGTTGTAATCATGGACAATGAGCTCTTTATAACGGAGGTAACAAATGTCAAAGATGAACTTGCTGTTTTCTTCTCTCATTGGGACTCAGCCGGTTTGTATTTGTTGCTAAAAAACTTGGGTACCGTTCTAAAAAACCTGAAAGAAAAACATGTTTCTAAACTATTATTTTTATTTTTGAAGGTTTAGAGTTCAGCTAGTTACTAGGATTGATTGACGAGAAGGGAAGTGTCACCAACTTTGGTCCCCTTATGTACTTATCTAGTCACTGATTCCATTCCAGTTATAATATGTACGTACAGTATAATACAATGAGTTTCTGTTTTCATTAAATCATCACATTAAAGTTTGGTGGGCTTTTAGAGTTGATAATCTACTGTTAGTCTAATCCCCATCTTCTGATTTGGGAACCGTTCATTGGTTAAGATTTTATTTTATTGCCTTACCTAAGAAAGAATCAAAGTCTGAAATGTTTTTTGTTGCATTGGTTTTTTTCGATGTACTTTCCGTCTTGCTTGTGTGTATTCATCCAACTGACTACTCAAGCCAACAGTTGACTAAATATGTTAATTTAATAAATACAGAAAACACTTTAAATCCATAAATTATGACTATAATAAGATTAAGGACTTATCTCTATTCTATGGTGACCACAGAAGGTAATTGTTTACTATCATTATACCTTCAGAAGTCTTATACTACTAGAACAAAATATCAATATAATGTTCAGATAAGCTATCCGAACTCTCTCTGTTACCCGAATCATAAAATGCTTTTTCTTATTTTGTAGTTGCCATTTGTTGGCAGGCTTTGTAGTACTCAACTAAGCAAATAAAACAAAACATAACCATGTCAGAAAAAAAACCTTATAAACATGCCCACTCTATTGGTGTAACAATCAGCTGTTGAACCAGCTGTTGTTTACCAATCGTTTAGTTTTGCCCCATTCTATTTCAATAACCCTGGTATTTAATATTATCAAGTTCTCCTATGATTAAAAGTTGTATTAATAATTATATTACTATAAATGAGCAATCAGTTTGGGAAATTTTTATAGTAACATTCATTCTGAGTTTCTGCAGGTTGGTTGATGGGTTGTAGCCTGCCTTGGGTTTGTTCTGTCCACTAAGAGAAAGCTGGCTTCTACTACAGGCATATTGTGATAATAGTATCATTCATTACAGCGGCTGAAATAGTGTTAATGTGCCCTATGCAGCTAGTCTAGTAGTTTCAATGTGTCCTAAGCTGCTAGTCTAATAGTGTGAATTGTTCTATTCTGCCAGTCCAATAGTGTCAAATGTGTCATATATGCTACTAGTCTAATAGTGTAAATTGTCCTATTCTGCCAGTCTAATAGTGTGAATGTGTCCTATTCTGCCGGTCTAAGAGTGCGAATGTGTCATATTCTGCTAGTCTAATAGTGGAAATTGTCCTATTCTGCCAGTCTAATAGTGTGAATGTGTCATATTCTGCCAGTCTCAAAGTGTAAATTGTCCTATTCTGCCAGTCTAATAGTGTGAATGTTTCATATTCTGCTAGTCTAATAGTGTAAATTGTTCTATGCTGCCAGTCTAATAGTGTGAATGTGTCCTGTTCTGCCGGTCAAATAGTGTGAATTTGACCTATTAATTACCTATTATTAATTGACCTATTAATCTGCTAGTCTAATAGTGTAAAAATGTGTTCTATTCTGCTAGTCTAATAGTGTGAATTTGTCCTATTCTGCTAGTCAAATAGTATGAATGTGTTCTATTCTGCCAGTATAATCGTGTGATTGTTTCTCATGCTGCTGCTAGTCTAGTAGAGTAAAATTTGTTCTATTCTGCCAGTCTAATAGTGTGAATGTGTCCTCCTATGCTGCTAGTCTAATAGTATAATTTGTTCTATTCTGCTAGTCTAATAGTGTGAATGTGTTCTATTCTGCCAGTCTAGCAAAGTAGGGTTTGTGGAAAGAGTGCTGTTGACCTTGGACTCTACATGTGTATCACTTTAGATAATAACCAAAAATCTGTAATTTATGTGTTGCCTATTTGCTTTACTTGTTGTGTGGTAATCATTATTTATTGGTTCATGGTACTTTATGACTGAAAAGGTGTGTTTTATTTTTTGTCACCTGTACTGCCAAACGTAAATATTTATAATTGTAACATTATATTTTGAAATATATCAATTTATATACAGTTTTAAAAAAATGTTGTTAATTATGTTTTGAATTAGCCTACTCTAAGCGCTTGCATTATTTAAAACCAGTTTTATGTAGACAGTATCTCTTCTGTTACGGTGCCATCTTAGATTCTTTTGAGCAAACAGTAATTGTTCTTAAAATTCTTCTTGATCAGCATTGTACGTGTTACAAATTTACGGAAAGTAAATAAAAGAGACTCTTATAACACTTAAGACATATATTTACGCTTATACTGTTACTCACAAGACGGTAAATATACAAAATACCCCCGCCGCAGCAAACCTGCAGACTAAGCGAATTTCCATTTGCCTGATTGGATTTACACGAAAATGTCTCCTTAAAAATATCACATTTATTCCCTATTTAAATAGAATCAGTTTAACACATACTTAGGTTTGCTGCAACAGGGAGGGTAAAAGTGTTTTTTTATGTAAAATGTTAATAGTTAGTAAGAAATAAAAACATTTTCCAAATTTGGGCAAAATATGTTAATAAACAAGCAAACTACAACAGTTTACTTATTCTCCATAAGAATAACACGGGAATTTTAAATTTACAATTTTTTGGAATTTTCTCCGTAACCATTAGGCGCATTATAACGCTTCAATATACTAAATTATTTGTTTTTTTAAGCTCTACAAAATAGTTTGGAAAGAAATTGCAAAATTTTATGTTTTTTGGGTCAAAAATTGGAAAAACCCATTTTTACCCCATAAAAGCCCCCATAAACCCCCGTTCCCATGGTCCGATCATGCTGGTTCGCGAACTCGTTCGAATAAACGTAGGTTTACACGTTTGTACCAAATTTAATCAAAATCGGATCATTTTAGCGAATTTCCCATATAGGGAATAAGCTATTACCGTAGTACTCATGGTAAGACCTGGACGCGGGACCGATTTTTTTGTTTGTTTTGAGGTCCCTAGAGGCCAAAAACACCATCCGTTCAAATTCATATATATATATATATATTTATATATATATATATATGTATTTATATATTTATATATATATATATATATATGTCCGTCAGCACGATAACTCGAGCAAAAATGATCCGATTTTGATGAAATTTGGTACAAACGTGTAAACGTACGTTTATTCGAACGAGTTCGTGATCCAACATGATCGGACCATGGGAACGGGGGTTTACGGGGGGTTTTATGGGGTAGAAATAGGTTTTTCCCATTTTTGACAAAAAAACATAAAATTTAGCAATTTCTTTCCAAACCATTTTGTAGAGCTTAAAAAAACAAATAAATTAGTATATTGAAGCGTTATTATGCGCCTAATGGTTATGGAGAAAATTCCAAAAAATTGTAAATTTAAAATTCCCATGTTATTCTTATGGAGAATAAGTAAACTGTTGTAGTTTGCTTGTTTGTGAACATTTTTGATCAAATTTGGAAAATGTTTTGATTTCTTACTAACTATTCACATTTACAAAAAAAAACAGTTTTACCCTCCCTGATGCAGCAAACCTAAGTACTTGTTAAACTAATTCTATTTAAATCAAGAATAAATGTTATATTTTTAAGTAGACGTTTCAGTGTAAATCCAATCAGTCAAATGGAAATTCGCTTAGTTTGCAGGTTTGCTGCGGCGGGGTTATTTGCTCAAGTTATCGCGCTAACGGACACATATATATATAAATATATATATATATAATATGAATTTGAACGGATGGTGTTTTTGGCCTCTAGGGACCTAAAAACAAAAAAAATAAATCGGTCCCGGGTCCAGGTCTTACCATGAGTACTACGGTAATAGCTTATTCCCTATATGGGAAATTCGCTAAAAGATGGTAAGTGGTGATCGATTTCGATTGGACACTCCAATCATCATCAGACCCAATAGGTGAATGACAAGAATCTTTAATGAACTTCCTTAACCGCTTCAAAAACCATACATCTGCGTGGAGGATCAACAAACCGGAAAGATCAAATGTCGCACAACACCTGTTACAAAATGGCCACTCAATAGGAAATATGTAATAAATGCTTGGGAAGAATTGTATATTTATAAGGAAAAATGTAAAAATAGAAATAAGTTGATTAATGAACAAGTAAGTTTCGATTCCAGTTGTACTTATAAAAATGTATTTTCCGGTGCATTACGGTAGCCAATAGGGTATAAGTAGGGGCGCCATTCAAGATTTTTGTCATTCGCCTATTGGGTCTGATGATGATTAAGTGTTATAAGATGTCTCTTTTATTTACTTTCCGTTTTCTTAAAATTCATATAACCATGGATTGGACCTACACATCAGAATCATATCATTAAATAAAGGGCCTAAAGACTTTGAATGGATGATAATGGCTGAGAATTAATGAAATTTTGTCAGATTACTATGAAGAATAATAGCATAGCAGCTACTAACACAGCTGATACAGTTTCCTTCTAAATGCCATTGTACTGTAACCATGATATTTATTTCTAGATATGTCCTAAAAATAACCATAATCATCTTGAAGTAAAATAGAAATACAAGGTTTATATTTTCAAACAGGTGGATTTTGATTTTGAACGCTTAATGTGTTTCATTTTGGAAAAGTTCCATACATTAAATTACTCCCAGAATCCAAATCATCAGTAATACAAATTTTGTTACACCAAACTTATGTACACAATTTGACATACTACATTTGAATGTCGCAGAAATTAATGTCCAATGATAAACTGTACTAATAATTGTTGACTTCTGTTGACAGACAAAGCCTCCTACTGCTACCAAGAAGCAGAAGTTGGAGATATTGAGGGAAGGCGGTTTGGAGGTGACTCCAGTAGGAACAGTGTGTGAGAGCAAACCGCGACCTTCCGTGATCCAACACGTGGAACGGCCTCGCGAGGGTAGCAAGGAGAAGGTGTCCATCACTATTACTCCAGACGTGGCTCTGCTGTTGCCCAAGAACCGACACGCGTGGTCCCTGGGCAACCACAATGTCTACGGCAACCCCAAGGACGTGGTGCAGTCCAGCCCTCGACCCAACGGTGGGGAGGTCCTGGACCTCAGAACAAGGAATCCCTACACACCGGTGGGGTCCAATCTCGAAATCACCCTAGTTCCTCCTTCATCTAGTGAGAATCACATCCGTAGTAAGAAACCGCAACTTACAGTTCCTATTGTGCCGCGACCGAACCATTCACAAAAACTGTATCAACCTCCTCGTACTCACCCTCCTCAACGAGCTATACCTCCCCTAAAGCCCATGCACAGTCTGATGGCTTCCCGTATACCCAACAACCCTGGTATCTCTATCAACGCCAACCAGCAGAGAAGAAAAAACAAGATAACTCCTTCTCCGCAGACACCTCATAACTATCCAGCATTCAAGACGAGTCCTTACCCGATGGTGGATCCTGTTTACTTGTCTGCCTTCTACAGCAGTCTGTTCTCCCCGTTCTCCCCCACCACTACTCCTCAACAGCTGCAGATGTACAAAGATCTCCTCCACAGACAGAACATCCCCGACAGCTTCCCCCGCTTGCTTCAGGATGGTTCCACATCCATATCTCTAGTTGATCAGAGCCCTTCCCCTTCGTCCAAGTGACCTGCCTTCAACGTCACACTCTAGTGTGCCATAAGCAGTATTCAACCCATCGTTCAGCATTTTGTGATAGTAGAATATTCTGCCGATGTAGTTTTCTCGATAGATTGTATAGTACAATATAAATTTACAATTTAATTTTAGAAGACCTAGATGTGCAAGAGGTCGTGTAGTAGCTTTTTTATTATTTTTTTTTACATATATAACTACTAGTAGTGAGCCAAACCTTTAGATTGTATTATTTACAATAAGTTAAATGCTGCACATTGTAGTGTTGTGATGTTCTAAATTTTTACAATCCATGGCATAAAAGATAGTAAACAAAAAGTATGATGTATTTTTAAAACCACCCTTGATATTTGATAAAGTTAAGAATCACAGTTGCCTTTTTTGATACTGGTAACAGTTATTTAAAATCATTTGTAATGTTAATCTTTAAGTGTTGTCTTTCTTTATTAATTGTAAATGTTGTGCAAGTTATTTATTATTCCATCTAATTTCAAAATTAGTTGTTATTCACTAATAAAACCTTTGATTTTCCCTGTGGCATTGTTTTAAAGTAGTAATGTTTAAATAATATTCAAACAATTTTCTTAAAACTTCCAAACCATGCATTTTTAAATAACTAATGAAACTATAATTTATTAATTTACCTAACATTTCAGTTTTTATGCCATGTATATAGATACTCAAATAGCACTTAGGCATGTGAAAATGTGTTATGAGTATTTATGACATATAGAAAAAAAATATGAGTTTAAAACAAGACAGGAAAGTTTTTGGTCAATGAGCGTTTTTTTATATTCATAAACAGCTTCTGGAATTCTGAAATTTTCAACGTTAAGTTTCTGGATACCTGAAAGTTCCAATACCTGAATAGAATGTATCATATTGTTTTCCAGGCATAAGCTGCTCTCGCATGTTTGTAGACCAATTTTAGTGGTAACTTAATGGCGTTAAAGGTTTATTCAAGATTTATCGCTTTTGTTTTAAGTGCCTTTCAAAGTTCAAATATTCAAGTATTACAAAAGCCCAGTCTTATCAGCAAACTAGCTGTTTAATATGTTTTCTAAATAATTTGTGAAGAAACAACAGGAAACCGTTCAGACTTTTTTAGAAAATTGTGTTTGTAAATAAAATAAGACCATGATAATCTTGTACATATTGCCAAACGTGTAAAGAGTATATTTTGATGGTATAAAACACTACTCAATTCAATGCAGTTATGTGTGCAGTGTTCACATTAGTTTTAAATTTTATGTATATCTTTTACTTTTATAAATAAACACAGTTTTCTATTGTAACTTCCAATTACTATTTGCTATCCTCAAATCCCATTAATTGATACACTATCTCAAATGACTATTTATATAGGATAAAGACACTTGTACTTTCATCATTGGCTTTTGGTTACTGAAGTAGACATGCTATCTATGTGGACCAGCTGCATCCTATTTAATTTTTTTAGGACCATAGTTGAATGAGCCACTCACAACTGTACCACATTCGTTTAACAATAATTATAATATTTTCTGCCTTATTTTTGTCACTAAAAAAGCTGGTGACAACTTAAGCATGACGATAGAGTATCTAGATCTATCAAAAAGATCCAGGTAGTGGTCTGAAGGGGAAACTCCAAAAAGCACTGCTCCAAAACTCATTTTCGGACCAGTGCCTTTCGGAGTAACGCCTGGGCTCAAACATTGTTCGAGGGAGGAGCAAGGACCGAAGGTGGAGGTCCGTTGTAGTGAAAGGAGGGATGTGTCAGTGGTGGGCGGAGTCAGATTGCCACTTGTATTGCTCATTCAGTCTGGTATGTGAAGTTATCATTGCCATTGTTAGTTTATTAATGTGGCTGATCCAAACAACAACTTATCTAAAACTAGCAATATTTTATAAGAGAGCTACTACGGTAATAGCTTATTTTCTATTTGGGAAATTCACTAAAATAAATCTTAAGTGATGTTGTTGATTACTATATATTTGTTTTTGATCGTTTGTTAAGATATTGATATATTGCTCAAAATACCCCCGCTGCAGCAAACCTGCAGACTAAGCGAATTTCCATTTGCCTGATTGGATTTACACTAAAATGGCTCCTTAAAAATATCACATTTATTCCCTATTTAAATAGAATCAGTTTAACACATACTTAGGTTTGCTGCAACAGGGAGGGTAAAAGTGTTTTTTTATGTAAAATGTTAATAGTTAGTAAGAAATAAAAACATTTTCCAAATTTGGGCAAAATATGTTAATAAACAAGCAAACTACAACAGTTTACTTATTCTCCATTAGAATAACACGGGAATTTTAAATTAACAATTTTTTGGAATTTTCTCCGTAACCATTAGGCGCATTATAACTCTTCAATATACTAAATTATTTGTTTTTTTAAGCTCTACAAAATAGTTTGGAAAGAAATTGCAAAATTTTATGTTTTTTGGGTCAAAAATTGGAAAAACCCATTTTTACCCCATAAAAGCCCCCATAAACCCCCGTTCCCATGGTCCGATCATGCTGGTTCGCGAACTCGTTCGAATAAACGTAGGTTTACACGTTTGTACCAAATTTAATCAAAATCGGATCATTTTAGCGTATTTCCCATATAGGGAATAAGCTATTACCGTAGTACTCATGGTAAGACCTGGACGCGGGACCGATTTTTTTGTTTGTTTTGAGGTCCCTAGAGGCCAAAAACACCATCTGTTCAAATTCATATATATATATTTATATATATATATATATATGTGTCCATCAGCACGATAACTCAAGCAAAAATGATCCGATTTTGATGAAATTTGGTACAAACGTGTAAACGTACGTTTATTCGAACGAGTTCGCGATCCAACATGATCGGACCATGGGAACGGGGGTTTACGGGGGGTTTTATGGGGTAAAAATAGGTTTTTCCCATTTTTGACCCAAAAAACATAAAATTTAGCAACTTCTTTCCAAACCATTTTGTAGAGCTTAAAAAAACAAATAATTTAGTATATTGAAGCGTTTTTATGCGCCTAATGGTTATGGAGAAAATTCCAAAAAATTGTAAATTTAAAATTCCCATGTTATTCTTATGGAGAATAAGTAAACTGTTGTAGTTTGCTTGTTTGTGAACATTTTTGATCAAATTTGGAAAATGTTTTGATTTCTTACTAACTATTCACATTTACAAAAAAAAAAAGTTTTACCCTCCCTGATGCAGCAAACCTAAGTACTTGTTAAACTAATTCTATTTAATTCTAGTTATTTTTGTCACTAAAAAAGCTGGTGACAACTTAAGCATGACGATGGAGTATCTAGATCTATCAAAAAGATCCTGGTAGTGGTCTGAAGGGGAAACTCCAAAAAGCACTGCTCCAAAACTCATTTTCGGACCAGTGCCTTTCGGAGTAACGCCTGGGCTCAAACATTGTTCGAGGGAGGAGCAAGGACCGAAGGTGGAGATCCGTTGTAGTGAAAGGAGGGATGTGTCAGTGGTGGGCGGAGTCAGATTGCCACTTGTATTGCTCATTCAGTCTGGTATGTGAAGTTATCATTGCCATTGTTAGTTTATTAATGTGGCTGATCCAAACAACAACTTATCTAAAACTAGCAATATTTTATAAGAGAGCTACTACGGTAATAGCTTATTTTCTATTTGGGAAATTCACTAAAATAAATCTTAAGTGATGTTGTTGATTACTATATATTTGTTTTTGATCGTTTGTTAAGATATTGATATATTGCTCAAAATACCCCTGCCGCAGCAAACCTGCAGACTAAGCGAATTTCCATTTGACTGATTGGATTTACACTGAAACGTCTACTTAAAAATATAACATTTATTCTTGATTTAAATAGAATTAGTTTAACAAGTACTTAGGTTTGCTGCATCAGGGAGGGTAAAACTGTTTTTTTTTTTGTAAATGTGAATAGTTAGTAAGAAATCAAAACATTTTCCAAATTTGATCAAAAATGTTCACAAACAAGCAAACTACAACAGTTTACTTATTCTCCATAAGAATAACATGGGAATTTTAAATTTACAATTTTTTGGAATTTTCTCCATAACTATTAGGCGCATAATAACGCTTCAATATACTAAATTATTTGTTTTTTTAAGCTCTACAAAATGGTTTGGAAAGAAATTGCTAAATTTTATGTGAAAAAAATGGGAAAAACCTATTTTTACCCCATAAAACCCCCGTTCCCATGGTCCGATCATGTTGGATCGCGAACTCGTTCGAATAAACGTACGTTTACACGTTTGTACTAAATTTCATCAAAATCGGATCATTTTTGCTCGAGTTATCGTGCTGACGGACACATATATATATATATAAATATATATATATATATATATATAAATATATATATATATGAATTTGAACGGATGGTGTTTTTGGGCTCTAGGGACCTCAAAACAAACAAAAAAATCGGTCCCGCGTCCAGGTCTTACCATGAGTACTACGGTAATAGCTTATTCCCTATATGGGAAATTCGCTAAAAGAACTTATAGTTACGTAATGGGAAGTAACTTTGCATTTTATTTATTCTCGAGGGAATTAGATTATACAAGACATAGACAATGGTATTTGACAATAAGTCATATTATTTTCACTTTGATGAAGAAGGCGCTGGCTCTCTCTCGCCTTCTTTGCTTTTTTGAAGACCATGGTAGTTCTTTTGAGTCTAGTCTAGACAAGAGTGGAAATCAAGATCTAAGAACCGGAAGTAACCTAACCTCTAGGAGCTAACCTTGCTGCGGCTGCACACCTCAAGCCTCACCACATTCCCTTTAACCGACCCAGAGATACATTAGACTTTTTAATAAATTTAAAACAGTGTGCTTTGCCCTTTTAATAGTATTTTAGAAGAAAATGTGTTGACATTAATTTAGGTAAACTGTACTTCTGATTAGGTTGTTCGAGTTGTATTTAAGCAGCCTATTGTGATCACGTAACTAGATGGTTATCAAAATTATTAATTAAAGAAACTTTGACTAAGTCAATTAAAACTGTGTATAGTTCAGAACAGACATGTATAAAACAAATTTTCTGGCACTTTTGATGAGAAAAATCATCTTGTTGACAAATATCACGTGATCAAATATCTTTTCATCCGATTAAATGCCTATACAATATGCATTTTAAATTGGATAATTTTATAATAAAACAGCAGTTTTGTCGATGTGAAAAGCCTGAAATAGAGATATGCGGCCGATTCGCACACTGATGATAAGTACAGTAGAGAGAGTATAGTCAATGATACCACCTTCCATCGTATACTACACTTACCGTACCTAACCTCCGTGGCCACTGAAATCTTAAGAGGTTTCTGCCCTCTCATTCCCTTCTATCACCTGCCTCTTCTATAATTATTATCACCACAATATAATTACTCATACTAAAACACAATTTCAAATAAGTCTAAATTAAAACGAAGAAAAAAACACTAAAAATAAAACGTTAATATCCACTTAAGTGAAAAGAACCCCATTTAAATAGGAGAAATACCTGAAATAAAAGTCTAGAGGTTTCCACTAAATATCATTGTTTAATTTATCATACTTTCAAAAGTAATTAACAATTGTTTAGAGCAAATAAAAATGAACCACTTTTGTTGGAAAAGCCTAAAAGAATGTCTCTTTGTTTATTTATCCTCTTAGTAACCAAATTAAATCAAATTCATTAAGGGTGTGTTTATGTCGGAGCTGCGACTAGCGATAAGAGCAGCGATGCGAGCAGCGATGCAAGCTGTGATTATTTCTCTGCTCTCATACTGTGTTTATGTTGGAGCTGAGATAGTAGCGTTGTGTCAAGTGGTTGAAGATGAGTGACTCTGAAGAAGAAAATTGAGTTTTTTCTTCTTTTTCCATATAGGCCCTACTTTGTATAGAGGGAGAAAGTAATAGACCTTAGACGTTATTGGCTTTTACAATTCAAGGATTAACCAATCATTTTTGTTATAATTTTTCAAAAACCACATTTTATAATGGGTTTTGAATATTGATATGGTCTTATTTGTTAAGTTCTTTCATCTAATATTTTTTCTTTAGCCTTTTTAGAATTAATTGGAACAGCTGATGATTTTAAAATGATTCATATTGTACAAATAAAACATTCCTTTCTGTTCTTCTTGTAAACATGGTTTACTATTTTTTTCTCTCTAGGTGAAAAAAACGAACCTCTATCACAACGAACCTGTTGTGATGGTTTTTGTCCGATTTCGTAAATATTTCCGCCACTAAACTTTCAATATCCATCTTTGCACGACCAACGACACTAGCTGAGAAAAAGGACTGAAGCATTGTCACAGCTACTATCGCTGGTCGGGACCCAAGAGAGATTTAAAGCGCAGCTCCAAAGTAAACAGACCCATTGAAATACACGCACTAATTGTCTAGGCTCTAATGGCATCGCTGCTCTTATCGCTAGTCGCAGCTCCGACATAAACGCACCCTAACAAACATCTGTCAGCTGATAGATCTGTCAGCTCACTACACCACTATGTTAAAATAAGACATGTAATAGTAGTTTACGCAACGATCGTGTAAAGATAGTGTTAACGACACAAGTAGAAAATTTAAGTTGTGAGCCTTGGCGAGTGCCTTTAAAAGTTCTACGAGTGTCGTTAACACTATTCTATTTACGCGAGTTGCTCAATCTACTTTACCTACGACAGAGTTTTTATTAACTAAAAATCACTACTCATAACTTCTAAGAGGGGTTATGTTTTGATATTGACAGGCTATGTTTCGTTGACAGTGATGCTGATTTTGGGGAAATTTGAAATTCTAAAAAAAGTATTCTTGACATTTTTTCATAGAATTAAAATATTAAAATGGCCACCATTATGTTAATTTTTTATCGGAACAACTTTATTATTTTGTACAAAAAACAAAAATGGCGAATAACTGGGAAAATATGCATTTTCAGACATACCTATATATACACTTTTTTCTTCCTTTTAGTATGAGGATTCATTTCCCAAAGTCCTGAAACGTTTTTTATGGACACCTGTATATATATATATATATATATATATATATATATATATATATATATATGAATTTGAACGGAGGATATTTTTGGTCTCTGGGGACTTCAAAATGAAAAATTAAATCGGTCTCGGGTTTAGGTCTTACCATGAGACATACAGTAATAGCTTATTCCCTATATGGGAAATTCGCTAACAATAACAGATAGGTAGTTTGTTTTGAAACAGCTGTATAGTTAAAATAACATCTTATATTTTAAAAAATTGGATTTTCTTTTTTGAGTTCGTTTGGCTCTTATACCCGACCAATTTTCATGATTGAGGTCTCAAATTGAAGGTATACACGCACAGATTTCACATATATTTATCTACAACCCCACTTGGCTTATACCTAAACGAAGTTTACTACCCATGTATTTCATATGGGAGTTAAATTTGGGTCTTCTTTTCCGAGTTCGTTTGTTTTTTCTACCGGGGCGATTTTCATTATTGTGGTCTTAAATTGAAGGTATGCACGCAAAGATTTTGCATCAATCATTGGTAAATATTTATCTACGGTATTACTTGAACATAAAGCATAAATTTTATATATTTTCAAATTCTTACTTCAACTTAAGACGTATTTCACCAGTTATAATTATATAATCCTATATATTTTGGTCTAAGAACCTTTTCAGTGAAATACCCGCTTTCATTTAAGCTGTTTAAGCTATTTTAGTTATTCAAATCAGACAAGTTTTAAGCAAACACAATGTGAACAACCAACATAAAAATGATTTTTTTAATAAGATTTTTCTATGAATAAAAATCAATAGCTCCAGTATTGTTTATGTTTTTTATATGTTTTAGTAAATTATAGGCATTATTAATTTGAGCTATTTATCATTTCAATCGGTTAAGTTAAAGATACAGTATTCAATCAAAAATCATAAATTTAATTATTTCTCGGATATGATAGTAATTTTAACGCTGCAACGCAGCATGGGTCCTCTAGTTAATTTGAAAAAATAGCTTGTCGCCTGTAGAAGGAATTTAAAAGGTAAACATGCTAGTAAGCTAGTGACGTAATTTGTCTTATGTTTGTTATCTACATAAAAAAAGATTAAATGTAGAAAAAGGCTAAGCTTTGCCCCCATTTTACAGCTAAAAATCGTAATATTTCAGCTATTTCTTATTTGATCTTTTTGTACTTGATATCTTTGATAGGGAATTAAAAATTCAAAATAAAAGTGTAAAAGTGCCATCTTTAAGTAATTCAAGTTAAAAAAATTAAAATGACCGTCATTTTGAAATTTTATGTTTTAGATAAACTTTTAAAAATTTTAATTTTAATCATATTGAAAAAATATTCATCTCGATTCATCAAAAAAATAACTTTAACATACTTACCAAGTTTCATAATGATTGGTTGAAAAACGTTTAAAGATAAAAATGTTCATGAGAAAAAAAAACGAAATGGTGAATATTTTCTCTTTATTATGACCTATAAAACCATTTGCCGGAGTTATAAAACTGATAATTAGATGTAGATTCAAGGTATCACATCTTAAGCGACAATTTATTTACTTATTTACATATTGATTAAACATTGTCATAGATGTGCTATAAGGAGATGCCTCTTTGCTGCAGCTTATTGTTGATCCAGGAGACAAAGTATGGCACATTTACGTAGACCCCAGGAGTGCCAGTGCCACAGTTGATGCCCCATGCCACAATGCCAGCCTGTACATACACCTGGGGGTCACTCTTGCTGGGGCACGCCAGTGGACCACCTCCATCACCCTGCGAAGTGGCAATCGTATTGTAATTCCTTTCAATAAAATGGTTTATTGGGTTCAATTGTTAAACAATATCGTAAACAGACATTTTATAATTTAAACTATTTCCCCTATATCAAGTAATCTTCAGTGTAATCATTGCTCAATAGTTACAACTGGTATTTTTCCCTTTGTACTGTATTTTGTAATTTGTTATTATACTGTGGATGGCTGTTGTAAACACATGTGACTAATCTTTTGTTTACTTTTTCCTTGTTATTTTGTTCAACAAACATGGTTACTTGGCAACCCATAAGGCCAATTTTAAAATTTAAAATTTTCAAATGAGATGTGTAGCAAAATACAAATTTTCCTGTGGTAGTGGCTGTCACCAATCACGTTGTTAGAGCTATAAGCTCTAATTCCAAAATTTAGTCAAAATCCTTCCGTTGGATTTTGAGATATATATTACAGAGAGACAGACAGACAAACAGACATAGCTCGTATTAGATAATAGGATCCATATATAAATCCCAAAGTACCCATGAACTTTTGAGAAAACTACAAGTCACACCCCCATAAACCATATACTTAAAATGTTCATCATGACGAGAAACCTTGCACAAAACTATCCATTATTTCATAAATTGCCCTTTATGGTAATTCCTTTTTAAAGGGAACTTTCCATATACCTAATGTTAAAAATACCTCAGCTGTATTTATTTGTTAGTTATTCTTTGACTTGATACCTTATTAAAATCAGATGTGATAATTTGTTTACCTAACCCGCCATGTTAAACTTCCCTATCCCAAGCGTGATGTCTACAACTTCTTTACTTCTCGAGTGATGTAAAGTTGAAAAAAACTCATTCGGTGAGGTAATGAAACCCATTTAAATAACATTGAGTGCTTAACTTAAAAAAATATACCTCTATGGAGCCAACGACGTTCAACGCTAGAAATCAGCTGTGCTCTTGAATTTTATTGTTATGTTTTGAAGAATTTTCCTAACCTAGCTTTTGTTTGTAAATGAACGTTACTGTTAGAAGATGAGTGAAATGGATAATGAAAAATATTGTTCGTAGCCTCCTGTATATTGTCGGGTCAGGTAAAATCTTGTACGTTACACGTTACGCAAGAGCGTGTTTACATCACTTAGGTAAATTATGCAACTCGCTTCCGCTCGTTGCACAACATTCACCTGCGTGATGTAAAAACGCTCTTACTACACTTGTAAGGTAAATAGCTATTACCTAACCCGCCATGTTAAACTTCCCTATCCCAAGCGTGATGTATATAACTTCTTTATTTCTCGAGTGATGTAAAGTTGAAAAAACTCACTCGGTGAGGTAATGAAACCCATTTAAATAACATTGAGTGCTTAACTAAATAAATATACCTCTATGGAGCCAACGACGTTCAACTGGTTCAACGCTATAAATCAGCTGTGCGCTTGAATGTTATTGTTACGCTTTAAAGTATTTTCCTAACCTAGCTTTTGTTTGTAGAAGAACATAACTGTTAGAAGATGAGTGAAATGGATAATGAAAAATATTGTACGTAACCCCCTGTATATTGTCGGGTCAGGTAAAATCTTGTACGTTACACGTTACGCAAGAGCTTGTTTACATCACTTAGGTGAATTATGCAACTCGCTTCCGCTCGTTGCACAACATTCAGCTGCGTGATGTAAAAACGCTCTTACTACACTTGTAATGTAAATAGCTACTGTATTCTGGTTTGTTTATTTCAGCTTAACTTAACCAATCAATAGTTTTATTAATACGTATGAAGTCAAACGGGGTGAAGCCTGTGGGTAACAGCTAGTTAATTAATCAAATAAATTCAATAAAACAACACAACATGTTGACTTGATGACTTGATTTTTGACAACAAAAGAGCTCAGATTTTTAATAGTGACAAAGAAGTAATCGCCACAACTTTAAAGGTCAACAACTTGTTTAACCCTTTTACCGCCACGGGCCGATCAGATCGGCTCTGCGATATGTTGTAAAGACCGCCAAGAGCCGATCTCATCGGCCTCCAGCCATTATGTAAAGTCCGCCACGGGCCGATGTAATCGGCAGTTCAGATACGGCTGAAAAACGCCTCGCACCGATCTAATCGGCTTTGCGTAATTTCTTGATTGTGCTGTTGTTATAACGTATATAATCGTAAACTACATATTTATATCAAGGTTGAGAACCATTGTAAATGGTTTTAACGAACAAAGTTACACTTTAACTACAAAACAAACATTGATCAAGTAATCAAATCAAATCAAATCAAATCAAATATGCTTTATTCATAAAGTACAGTGTTGTACATTGAATGGTGTCAACTAAATCTATCTTAAATTAATAATTTACAGATTTGCATATCTTGGATCATTATCTAAATAAAAAACCAAGAATCAGGAAATGGAAATAATCAAAACTGAATCAATTATGTACTAACGCTAAGAGGGGAGGTGGAAAAATACTCTTCCAGGGATTAGAATGCTTTCTCTACTAAATATAGTTTTAGCTTTCTCATGAAATTCTTCCTGCTTTGTTCATTTCTGATTTCATTAGGAAGATGCTTAAAAAATTTTAATCCTATATAGGATGGTTTTTTTTCATAGAATTTTAATTTATGTTTACTTGAAATAAGGAATTTTTTATGCCGAGTGTTGTATGGGTGATAATTTGTCTCAGAGGTGCTCAAGCAGTTTTTTACTAGAATAATTGTGTCGTAAATATATTGGCCATATACCGTTAAAATTTTCAGTTCTTTGAATTTGTTTTTGGTTGTTTCATTGTGTTCTAATTTCAAAATTATTCTTATTGCTATTTTTTGAAGTTTAAGTATTCTATCCAAATTTGCTATTGTAGTTGAACCATAAAGGCACAAACCATAGGATAAATGCGAATGGACATTAGCATAATATATGTTTTTTAATGTTTTATGGTTACAAAAATAAGACATTCTAGAGAGTGAATATAGTCCTGAACATAATTTTGAAAGGAGTTTATCAACATGTTCATCCCAGTTTAAATTTTGGTCCACAGTTAGACCTAGAAACTGTGTACTGTGTTTATGTTCAATTTCTTCTGCATTATACATGATATTTGGTTTAATTAACTTTTTATTTTGATTTGTTTTAAAAGTTAAAAAATTAGTTTTTTTAGGATTAAGCTTCAATTTATTTTGCTCTAGAAAGTTTCCAATGTTTGCCAATTCAACAAAACTTAAAATTTCAACTTGTTGCACTGACTCAGCCGATACTTTGAGATTTGTATCGTCTGCATAAAAACAAAGATTGTTCTGAGGTAAACATGAGAGTGCACCACCAGCATCATTTATATAACATAAAAACAACAGGGGGCCAAGGATTGACCCCTGGGGTACACCACATTTAACCCTTTCAGTTTCAGAAGAAAATGCTGTAATTCTGTTATCATGATTATGTGTGATTTCTACAAACTGACAACGATTATTTAGGTATGACTGAAACCATTTTATTGATTTTTTTGTAACCCCTAAAATGAGTAATTTATCTATCAGTTGGGTGTGGTTGACACTATCAAATGCCTTAGTTAGGTCCATGAAAATTCCAATTGTGAACTCCCCTTTATCAACCGATTCAATTATAGATTCTATGAATGACACTGCTGCTGTAATTACAGATTTTCCAGGCCTAAATCCATGCTGAGTATTGTTTAATAGTTTAAATTCTTCTAAATAATTTAATAACTGACAATTAACAATTTTTTCATAAATTTTTGATATTACTGGTAGGAGAGAAATATGACGGTAATTTGACACAGTTTCTAGGTCGTCTTTCTTATAAATTGGTATTATTTTAGATTTTTTTAATTGATTTAAGTAAGCCGTGGCAAGGTTCGCCGCCACGCTGTCTGGACGCGCCAACGATTGGCGCCAAGCTGTCTGTGTTGCAACATTCGTTGTTTACATTCGTAATTCGTTGTGAATTCGCTTGGACTTGTTAAAATAGTGGTGAAAAGTGTAAGTTGTTTTTACTTTGTGCGATGGTTAAAAATTAGTAAGAGAAAGTGTCAATCACCTCTAAGCGAAAATACTCTTGTAAATGAAATAATTGCAAGTGGTTATGAAGTGATTCATAATGATGACGTCGATGCCGACGACGAAAATTCTCTTCAGGATGATTTGTCCTCTTCTTCGTCTTCTGAAGACTTTGTCGATGACACGGATGAAGATCCCACCTATGACCCCGATCCACAACCGCATATTCGATTTCGGTTTCTCTCAGGACTAAATCAAAGGTTAGTATTTGACAGAGATGTTCCTGGTCCCTCAAACGCCATAGATGATCCACAATATGACAGTGACAATGAGGACTATCCCGACAATACCCCCACTCCCCCTAATGTGCCCATTGATGAGGACGGCCCTAATCGGCCACAAACACAAAGACTCACTGAAATGCCTGGTTCTGATGATCGTGTTGAAATGGAGCCTATTCGAGAAGGAGGTCGTGGTTGCGGAAGAAGAGGATGAGGTTGTGGTCGTGGGAGAGGAGGTATGCAGGGTAGGAGCAATAATACCAGAGAAGAGTCTGACAGCAGTGAATGGGATGAAGTAGACGACGAAAATGACCCTGGATTCCCTGCACATTTTCTTTTTTTAGAGATTTCTGGTCCAAAACATTGTCCCCCTAGGAATTCCAGTCCTATTTATTTATTTATTGAGTTACATGTCAGTACATAATATTCAGGGGTGCCCACAAGTCATTGAAATTCTTGGGGGGGGGGGTTTCAAAATTTCAAATGGGGGGGGTGGCTAAAGTTAATTGCAACAGAGTTCAACGTGATGACAGTCAAAAATATATTACGAAGTCACCAGATAGAAACTCGATTAATTATAATGACAATAGTTTTATTATTGAATTAAATTAGTTAAAATAGGATTTTAGGATTCATGTAGGAAGTTATTATTCAACATTAGCAAGACGTGAGATCTAGAGGGAGGGCACGGAATGGCTCAACTGCTGTGATAGATAAA